AACAAGAACATTCTGAGTTTGGATTCTGTAACTACCAGTTATAGTAATATGTTCTTTAGAAAACATATTAGAATTTAATTTATCAATCATATATTTGTATGTTTCATGTGCTAGGCAGTAAGTCCATAGGTGTTCTGTGTCTTTATTCACCACTGTATTCCCAGTAACTAGAAGAGCATCTTACTTAAAGACTTGGTGAATGAATGAATCCAAGAGACCTAGTTTTGCATCTTGACCTTATTACTAACTTTTTTGATTTCTTGAGAAGATTTAATGAGATCATGCCTACAGAGCACTTGTCATGCAGGTTGGTGAATAATATGCATTTTAAAAAGTTAGCTATTATTATTGTTCACCAAAGTTTAAAGGGGAAATACAAGATATTGGGATCTATGACCCACATTTCCTAAGCCAGTCAAGATGTTCTTTCATTAGAACTTCCAGATGAAATTGACTCCATTTTGCACTTAGAAAATATTCATGAGTAAATGTGTAGATAAACAGGAATAAGCATAAATAAGATATCATATTGAATTTCAAGGAACAGGTGGCTGAGTATATGATATGTTGTAAATATAATTATGAAAACAATGAAATCTCTACACTAATGATTGTAGTGTATGTTTATGGGAAAATAACTGAAAAGATCATTGTAATGAAGTATGATATTGTGTTGGAAACCTGCAATCAGTGATTACACATCCACATACATAGAGCGGCTGAGTGAATGGTATCTGCATGGTAGCTGATAGTTCAATAATTGTTTTTACATCTTTATTCTTTGTATCAACTGAGGGGAATGTGTTATGTCTTTTTTGTACCCATCAAATGCAGACGTTGAAACTAAGAAAATCTCAGTGATTTGCCTTAGATGTTAGTCATAGATATGACATACATTTGAGATCCTATACCTCTTGTCCCCTGCTACCACATACACTCCTTCATTTCAGTCCTTTACTTGTTGACAATAATACTTTTTACCCTAACTGTTTATGTCCCTAAATCTATTCTGCATGCATAGTTCTTATTCTGTTCGTCTCTCATCATTAATCCATTTCATGTCTTCATGAATTTGTAATTTTAAAAATTCCTTTAAATAAAAGTGATAAAGGGCCGGGAACTTACCAGTGGAAGTTGCAGAAAATACAGCTTATCATCAGGAAAATAAGGCCAATAGCACATCAAGAGCTACTGTGAAGATTTAAGAAGTAGATCTGAAAGGCAGAACACAGGGGCCACCCATGCCAAGGAACTATGTTAGGTAGTTCTCGTACCTTTTTCCTCACAGGTTGCACTTCACGTGACAGTCCCTACTGTCTGTTGCCCATCTCTATATGGAACTTTAATATCAAAAAAAATGGCTTTATAATACTAAACATAGCATTATTTGGAAACAACATTACAGAAAAAAAAAAAAAACACACACACACAGAGGACTGAAAACATACTGCTTTTAACTTATATGAGAAAGTTAATGGCTCCTGTTAGGTCTATGTCACCCCTTCCCCCCACTCCTAGACCCTAGCCCTGGCAGACTAGGCAGAGACTGCACAATTCCACAGATTTTTCAAACTGTTACAAATTAGAATCCACAAGGGAAAGGCTCACTAGAGGACATCACAGGCGAAGTGATCATTTTTTCCTTTTGAAGTTGGGCTTCATATCTTTTTCTCATTACAATCATTACTTTGAAATATGATTTTTTTAAACAGTAATTTTCTAGAACAAAAGGGATAATACTATATTTCAAAAGCTTTACTGTGAAATTAAACCTTTGAACTACTGTGAAAGAAATTATTCCCTCAAGGCTGCAAGGCTTAAAGGTTATTAAAAATTTAATTTTAAAGAAGGCATCCCAGAAAAAAAAAGTGTATAAATGCCACTTAGAACTCAGATTGCCCAATTTAATAACTCCCATTGCTCCTTATTTTTAAATAATCTGGAAATGTGAACAAATGCACTCCATTTTTTTCCAGTGGCAAATCAGTATGTCAACAGATGGCTGGCACTGGTTGTTAACATCTATTTCCAACTGGTAGCTCAGGCACTTCAGTGACTCAGTGGCATCTTCTGCCACCCCCACTTACCAGAGATAACACCACAAGGTAGAAGATGCGTTTCACACAGGATACACTGAGCAAGTGTATCAACCACAGAATAGATGTTCCTCACATAAAGGACTTGTATGACTTAGTTTCAATTCTCTCATCTGTAAAATGAAAAGTTTTTTTTTTTTTTTCCTTTGTGCTATGGACAAGCGATTAACACCGTCATTAAACAGACCTTAGTTTGCTTAACTTCTTGGTATTTCAGCTTTTTCATCTGTAAAATGAGGATAATAACTAGACTTACCTCACCCACCTCACAGAGCTGTCATGGAGATTAAATCAACCCATGCATGTGCAGTGCTGGAAACAGCGCCTGGCATATAATGAGCACAGTGTGTTATTATTGCTACGTTTAATTTTAATCTTCCATGGCCAAGTAATGCAATTAAGTACATCCTTAAGCAACATGTATGAAGAGACAGGTAATAAGTCTGTCCCCTTAAGGATTTTACACACATGCAGATAAAAGCTAAATAGGCAACAGCAAAAAAAAAAAAAAAAAAAAAAAAAAAAAGTGCTGCACAACTGGATGGCAAATCAGAGAGACTATCAAGGAACTGGCTTTCTCCTTTGGATTTGCTTGGGTGGTAACTGGTTGAAAGAGTGCTGGGTTAGGGAAGTCCACTGAGATGAGTTTCCTCAAGAAAAGTATTCTAAACACAAGAAGTAAAACCACATGGAGTATTAATAAAGTCTGTTTCTCAGAGACACTGTGGGAAAACAAATTAATAAGACCCAATTCTCAATCCTATCTGCAAGTCAAAATCATCCATAAAGTTGCCTTAAAATACCATCCTTGACCAACTGAATCAGAATCTGCTGATCTGAGATCTAGGTATTGGTGACTTTAACAACCAGTACTTGTAATTCTGGGGCAGTCAAGGTTGAAGGATGCTAAGATAATGCATATTGAAGGTAAACAGCAAATCTCCATAAAAATGCTAGGTATTCTTACTCCTACTTAATATTTAAATACATATAATGATCTCAAAGTCTTAATTTGTATTGTTGCCATGTCCACACACCAAGTAGCAATGGTAACAAGCAAGACCATTAATGACAAGCACAAGAAGTTGTATTACAATAAAACTTTTCCCAACTTGGGGAAATGACAAGACCTTGTATTTAAAATAGATGCCATCTCTCTATTCTGTTTCTTGTGAAACAATCCATCTTAGCACAAAGCTCTTCATAGAATCAAATGGGAGTAAGCTCTAGTTTACCAAGAAGGAACAGATTTATCGCTCCTTGACAACATTCACTTGCTGTAGGCTCATCTGTAGTTTCTCACCCAAGAACATAATGACCTTAAACCCACTAGAACTGTAGACTCTTCCCACTCGACTGTGTGTTCCTTGAGTCCAGTGCCAGGGTGTCGGCCATGCAGTGTTTTCTCTCTACCACCTTGCACACTGCTGGTCATTGTGAAGGTGTCAACAACTATTTATTCACTTAATGAATGATTGTTGAATTTTCCCTTTTCATGACCCTAACTTGAATGCTATTTGAGGTTCTACTCATTGCCTCCTCTTGAGAATCAGAGTTGTTAAATTTTTTAAGGATTTATTTATTTATGTGCAGGAGAACTGGGGTGTAGGCCATAGGTGTGGAGGATGAGAGGATTCACCAGAGGCAGAACAGGAGCAGAACAGGCAAATCTACACTGCTGAGGAGAGCAGCGGGAGAGACAGAAGAGGTTAGTTCCCTGGCCAGGGATCAAACTCAGGTCATGGCAGTGATAGTGCTGAGATTTAACCCCTAGGCCACCAGAGAGGCCCCTGTTAATTTATTTTAAAAGGATGTTAATGAAGACATTTTCCTGGTATGATTTTAAATAGTTTTGTTAAGGATATTATAGACAAATGATTCAATTTTGTTGTGTTCTTACACATCAGTCAAGGGGTAAGGTCAATGTTTGCTCACCTGGGCTATCATTTTGAATTTCTACCCATAACTTTAGGCCTTTGGGATATTCTGTTTCCATTTAGAGTCCTCTATATTGCCCATTCTCTTCTTGTCTTGAATTCCACAAAGAAAACCATCATTATGTTTTTTTAAGAAAAAATTGCAAAGACTATGCAGTATGTAGTACATGAAATTCCTTATTAGTGTGACTGTTGCACTCCTAAATGCCTAGTAGTCAGTTAAAATGAATTTTTCTCATTAACCTCAAGCATGCCAACTTGTCAAATAATGATGAACCAAACAACTGTACCAGAAATTGAGCTGCCATCATTACATTTATATGGCTTTGCCAATTAGTCTATAAATAACACATTTTGAACACACTTCAAAGTTTTGAAAACTAAACCACTTCTGAATGCTCTGAAATACAAGAATAGCAAAAAAGACTATTAAAAAAGGGAAAGAAAATTATTTTCTCTTGTTAGAGGAAATGAAAATTATTTAGAGGAGCAGGGATCAGAGGATCTTATAGACATGTATCAGATGGCTCATATGTGCATAAGATTTTTTTTTTTGGATCTAGTAGGTGTGGTTTACTAAATAAGTCACTAAAAATGTTCATTCAGTGAAAATTATATGGGAAATACTTATTATATCTTTCTGCATTATGCAAGATAACAGTGGAGAAGAGAGATGAATAAGGCAGATTACTATGTTTATGAGTCTCATACTTGGTTGAGAATTCGGATAAGCAAATATTTACAAAAGGACGGGG